ACTGAAGAAGAATTGTGTCTGGCTAACATTTGATTAGTCTGCATGCTGTTACTTAAGAAAAACAAATCCATAGTTGAAAGAGGCAGCACTCTCCCATACAGTTTTAGTTAAGAGAAATTCCAGTTGAAGGTAATGTCTTCCCATTAAGTGGTCCACAGGGGAAAGGTTCATTCTTTCTTTTTTACGAACTCTTACTATTTCACAATAGCTACATTTTTAATTGATGACAGTATAATCTGCCTGTCAATATAGCTAATGCCACTGCAAATGTTGGAAGGTATTGATTAGTAGCCTCTAAACATGTTTATATTTCAGCTCCAGACTCAGTCTGAAGTCTCACTTGATGTACCCAAAGTTCGACACAGCCCCTTGCAGCAGGGATACTCAATAAATCCTTACACAGAGATGTCTTTCCCCCAGACTCAGTCTGAAGTCTCACCTTGCCTAGATGTACCCAAAGTTCAGCACAGCCTCTTGCAGCAGGGATGCTCAATAAATCCTTACACAGAGATGTCTTTCCTGCTTTGTCTGCAGTTAAGCATGCTTCTGGGCAAGGCTGCCTGTGAAAGTACATACCTGCAGGTCCACATCTCCAGTGATCGTATGTCATGGCAGCCTCTTGTCACCTGTCCTGCTGTAGTTCCTGAGCTCTGCAACAGCAGTTCATCTCATCCCATCTTATAGAGAGACACTGCTCACAGCCCTTGAACTACAAACCCTTTTAAGTCAGGGACCAAAATACTTTGTTCTGTAAAAAACTTCACACATACTCTTATATCCTACATATGATCATTTACAAGAACAACTTAAGTTTTACAGATTATATATGAACTTCCAAGTAAATTTTAATATGGTAAAATTAATTGATGCAACTATACACAAGGAATGAAATCTTTCAGTTAATATAATGATCCATGTAGTAGATTAACATCTGGTTCTGACTTCCCAAATCTTGGCTTCCAAGCTCAAATGGGAAAGTCAGTAGAAAACCTCTACATACAGCATAGTATTTTTTTTTTCATGTCTGTTTTATTTTACTTTATTTAAACTTGAAAGATACTCTGTCTTACTGCATGAGTTCAGAGACCTTCCCTCATCATCCATGAATGGGAATCACATCACTATGTCCTCATATATTGTAACTCAAAGGAGAACACTGAGGGAAAACAGCCAGAGAAATTCAGCCCAATCCACGTCATGAGTTATGTAAAACAGTTCTTGTATTTTCTACTGGTCTGACCTTTTCCACTACTTGTTGTTTGAGGCACTTTAATCAGTGGATTTAGAATTTATTGTATGATTCAGCTCTTCTTTTTCAGACAGGAAAAGCCTTGTTAACTCTCTCTTGTAAGTCAGTGTAGAATTTGGCCAATCTAAGAAACTCCCTGAGTTTGTTATTTCAGTCCTAATATTTCATACTATGAGTGTTTTACAGTTGACTTTGATGGGATCAGACATAGAACTCGAATCAGGTCCATTCATTTCATTGATTACTGATTTGTCAATAATTAGAAACTACTAATTGAAATACTGAAAGTGCTAATCACTGTTGCTATATACAGTTATCACTGGGAGGGGAGGATAATTGTTAGCCCTTACTCAGTTTGCCTTCCAATGACATGAAGAAAAACCCTTTGTTTTAGATGGTGTCATGGTCAGGTAACCACCATTTCCAAGGGAAGAGTGTGGCTGGAGTGATGTAAACCTTCGCAGGAGCTCTTCAAGTGTTTGCTAAGACCCTGATTTCAGAGGTATTTATGAAAAAAAAGATTTACAAAGGTCTACTATCTATATGTGGCTTTCCGTTTCTTAGATTTTCTTGTGTTGTGATATGTGAGATGCTGCCATTTTATTTAGCAATTGCATTGCTACCTATTAGGTAACACTGTGTCAGGGCACTGTGAGGGCTGGATGCTCCCTGGGGTCTGAGGATGCTCCCCAGGGGATGGCAGAGCAGGACCTGGCGGCCAGCCATGTCCCACCCCAACCAGGGAGTGAGGAAGGCGGAGGTGGGGGGCAGCATTGGGCAGCTCCCTGCAGACTGGGATGGGCTGAGGACAAGCTGGGAACGTGAGTCATGGTGAGAAGCACGTCATGGGAAGAAAGGGAGTGTGTGGTCAGGGCCCTTACAGGCATCAATGAACTGATGTTTGGTTAAACCTTGAGGACTTGTTTTCCTCAAGGGTGATCAAGCAGGACAGGTAACTGCTAATACAGAGTAAGCATTTTTGCTTTTTTATACATTTGAGAGCATTTTCAAATTAAACCTCCTTGCTTCTATTATTTCTTTTTCTTTTGTGTGGAATGATTCCTTGCTGTTATCCCGAGTATGCAAATGTCATATACAAGATACTTTGTGCACATGTAAATTCAGCAGGCATTTTCTTGGCACCTCAATATTCCATTGATGCAGCTGGTACTTTACACTCTTCACTTAAAAAAACCCCAATATATTGCCAAATTATGTTGCCAAGTCTAGTTTGGCCTTTACTTCTGTACAGCTAAAAGTGGTGTATAACCACCCTTTCTCTGTCGAGAAGTAGGAATCAATGTAGAAGAGAGCAAATGAACAGAGTGCTCAAAGCTCTCAGATTTATCTCTCTCAAGATCAAAGTGCTAATCATAACGAATTCACTTTTTCGTGAGCAGTAGCTCTTCATTCTGACCACAGTTCAGGAAAATAATTGTGTTCAGAAAGTTTGAGTACTTAAGATGCAGTTTGTATCTCAGGTATGCAGGTGATAGCAAGGGTCCAGGCAGGTCATTGCCATGATTGCAGTGCACTGTGAGAGATGGCACAGATGCACCGTCCTCTCCAGACAACGCTTGTCCACATTGCGGGTGGGTTCTGCTCTCCCCCACCATGTGCTTGGGTTTTTGTCAAAGAGAGTGTATTTGTGGGATAATGTCTTTTAAAGAAGATTTAAATAAGTGATGTGTTTGTGGCTGTTAGGGCCAGAAGAGTAGAGAGTAACCTTAAAAGGAGGACAGAAGCTTTGCAAGAGAAGCAGTTGGTAACAAGACAGATTTTGGCAAGAATGAGGAAAAGTGGCAATGTCATAAAAAGAAGCAGGGCAATGCAGGAAGACAAAGCTTTATTTCACATAATCTGGGTTGCTGGCCTCCTGAAAAGCTCCTACTCTAGCTTCCTGCCTGTGATGCTGTGGCCATTCTGGTCTCATTGTACAGGGGTGTGTGTTGTTATCCCATTCAGCTGGCAATGGAAACCTCATTGCTTTAGTTCTGCAGCTGAAGCTGCAACATTTCTGTGTTTAGAAGTGATAACTTGTGGAAAGGGTGCTGAGGTGGCCCAGAAGGGAAAGCGGAGCAGTCCTGAACACTGCAGGGACTCCTTATGAGAGATTAGTATCCACCTTGGTGACTATTTAAGTTCACAGAAAAATATATGCTTCACAGTTGAGGTCTACACTGAGACTGCAGCCTTGACCCAAACTGGAGGCATGTTCACCCAGGCAACAAGGCAATCTTGACTACCCTGTGCCATGCAGGAGAGTGCCTGCGTTGGCTTGGGTGTGCAGGCTGGGACTGGAGTTCCTTCATCTGCCCAGTATATCAAAGCCTATCACAACTTGATTCAAAGCAATCCTAAATAAATGAGCCTTGCAGCTGATGTCAATAGGATTTCTAGTCACTTTCCCATTCCTCGGCATCTTTGCGTCCCCAGAGAATATAATCAAGCACATGAGACTGTAACAATCAGGGCTTGGAGATTATGTAGCATCAGGCACAGCCTTGAGGAGTCATGTTTGCTGACATTAAGTTGACTACAGCTTTATGGTCATTTTACACATGACAGCATGTCAGCTGTGTAAACCTCTCTGGAGCAGGAGATTGCCTATGACTAGCTGCTGTGAAATTGAAATGATTTGTCTGTGTCTATGTGGACTGAAAATCATGGCTGTTGTTTGCTAGTCATTGCAGTTTCTCAAGCTTCTTTTCTAATTTGGTGTAATTTTGTAGTGGAGACAGGTATTAAAGGGGTCCATGATGCCAACGTGTGCCAGACCCTCACTTCATCAGGACCTCCCATCATATTTAATAGGCTTCACCTTGAACTCACGAGATCATATTGTGTTTTCCTAACTTCAGGAGAATTTATTCCAAGGGAAATCTGTGCCGTTGCAGAGGAAAGTATTTCTCAAGGTCACTTAGAGTAACAGAAGTGAGCTCTGACATGATTTCTGTGAACAACCTGTGGATTAAGGCACCATTTAGCGTAGCTGGTGTAAAGTTTAAACCCATGGATTCCTGTGCTTTCAGTGTAACTGTATAAATAATGATGGATGTGCTAGTCTGCACCTTGAACCAAAGCAATTTCATAAATAATGATTACTCTTTTTCTCATTTTGACTTAACAAAGCTATATAAAGCTCGTGGTGTAGTTGAATAATGGGACAATACTTTGAGTATGGCTTTTGAACATGATTCTGTACAAATCAGCTATATTTTGCTTTAAATTAGCATACAACAGTGGGAAATGTTTTGTCCTATTCTTTTTGACCAAAAGCTACAGGGTTCCTATATGTGACCGCTCCATGTGTCACAAGGAAAACAGAAATGCTTTATTTTAAGGGTTTTTTTTGTGATATTCTATTTCACGTGATTTGCAGTACAATAAAGATTGGGATGAACAGACTTTGTGCAACACCACATCCTAGTACAGAATTTTTTATAAGAGAAAAGGAATAGACTCCCACTGAAAAGCTGCTGGTATCAAATAATCATTTATTCTGCTGTTGTTGACTTGCCCCTGTGTAAATGACAGGGGCTTAGCCCAACAGGAAACAATATTCCAACAAATGCTTGTGAAACCCTGTATAATCTGTACCACATCAAAGGCCTATGTGGAACTGTGTGCTTTTGGCTTTAGTGTTCTTTTTTTCTCATACTTACAGAAACAATAAATGAGGAAATATTTATGCTTATCAAGAAAGAAGGCTGCTTTTTACAAAAATCCTTCCCCAGCACATCGATGGATCTTAAACTTCATGTCTGAAATTTGGGTGAACTTCAGGGTTGATATCACATACTGTGCTCAAAAGCTTTTTCATCATGCTCTCCATGTTCTTGTGGTAGGTGCTAGTGAGGTTTTGGATGGTTTCTGTTGCTTGCTCTTCTATTTTAGTGGAGAGGTTACCTTGGGAGCCCATTACCTGCAAAGCAGAAGATCTCTTGAGAAAAAAAAAGGGTTATATATGACTATGTTTACTGTACTTTTCCTCATCATCTGGCATAAACATTACACAAGCACGTCACAGTGCTTTCTAACAGTAAGGGTATGATCTAGATTGAACTGTAAGCAAAGAAACAGGATTAAAGGGAACTCTTTCATATGCTCATTAGCAATGGGAATCTCCCCATGTAATGAAAGTTTCCCAACTCACTGTGGGAACAACATTGTATGTGTTTTGTCTTTTATATCGCTCATTTTTGTTTTCTATTTTAATGACTAGTCAACCAAGTTCTATCACCAGTGTGCTTCGTTTGGCCTCACTGAGAATGAATGTGAGTGCAGCTAAGGAGCAAAACATGGGAAGCCTCCCTGACAATGCATAATTACAATTTCAGAGTACTTGAAGTGTCTTCAGCAGTTAGTGATGTATAACCCTCAACAGGCCTCAGACAAGGTCTTTTCATGTTACATTTTCTTATCTGGCGAAATACCAGACAGCTTCTGGCACGCTTCGTATCAGGACATTCGCTTAGAATTTAATTGACTCTAGACTAACTGAACATTTTAGCAAGGTTATGTTATAAACAGATGCACGTGTTCCAAATCTGTGGCTTTGCTCCCTCCTCCCCCACTGCCCCAACATCCCTTGAATTCTTCCCTTATGGAAAAGTCCTTCAGATACCAGCAGAGAAATTGGTTTCCAGCTAAAGAAGTCCATGGGGGAGAGCAGAAGACAGTTCTGCATGCTGACAGATTAAAAAAGGAATAAATAACATATTTTTCTTGTTCCTGCCATGGTTCTCCTGGGTGGACTAGCAGCTGAAGCTGACCTGTGGTGTTAGTGGGATAACTAGAGGATGATCAGAAAGAAGGGAGGAGTCATTAGCTTTATTTTCCAAGTGATTTCAGCCCAGCTTAGTCCTTAAAAGGAGGAAAAGCAGCTGAATTAAGATCTTTACCACAAATCACCTTTGCAATTCTATTTATCAGTACCTGGCAATGTATTAAGAAGTTTGTCTGGAATCCAGGTGTAAAACACTTTCCAATTTGGAAGAAATACAGCACATAGACATAATTGGAAATATCAGGAAAAGATTATAGTTTTCTATAGTAACTATTTTTAGCTGGCATTTTATTTTAGCATTTAGACAAGTTGTAAGGGTCTCATGTGGGAAAGATTGTATGGCTTAGATCAGATTTATGAAGCTGATTTTTTCCACTGGGGAAAATAACTTTCTAGAGATCCCAGATGGTTGCATGTTATCCAGCTACTAAATACTTTTGAAAAACCTCAAGAAAAGTATTACAATTTTAAGAAGAGCCTCTGCAGGCTGCAAACCTGCTCTCTCAGTTCATGCTAATACTGTAACTTGCGATGGCTGATTCTCACTCTTCTACGTTCTGGTGGTTTAAGCTTTTTTCTTTTTTCTTTCTTTTTTTTTTTTTTCCTTTTTCTGCTTCTGAATTTGAAGACCTTTTTCTTGTCAGAATGCAGACAATGCTCTGCTTAGTCTATGACTTCTGCTGACCTTGAAGGTCTGTCCTTTATTTGGCCATAGTGGTTTTACACTAGTGTCATTCAAAAGTGGCTAAAACATTACATTGACTTGGAAGCGACAAAATTCGGAACTAGGCTTCACATCTCCAGAGTTTGGTGATCTCAGACCCTCAGTAAAAACACCATGAGCACTAGCAAAATTGGTTTGAGATCCAGGCTTAAATTTTGTATATTTTGAAAAAAAGATCTTGTGTATTGTCACTCTAACCTCAAATTAATTGTTATTTTATGTTGCTGCTGCTGTTCATTCTGGACTGATGTGGAACATCTCATAGTATGAGAAAATTTACTCCAGTTTGGCTACAGTAACACAAAGTAAGAGGAGGACTAACATTAAATGAGAATGTAACAAAGAATTAAAAATACTTGTGTCTGAATACCTGAGTAAACTGAACTGGGCATCAGACTTTCCTCTCTACTGGCTTAGCTGGAACTCCTGACTGCCTTCCAGGCACAGGTTAATAATGATGACATTTGTCTGGCTAGATATATGTTCAACATAATGGGGTCAGGGAACGTGAAGGAGGACTGCAATGATTTTGTACAGCATGTTGTCATTTGAGGAGCAATATGTGCTCTGTCCTGCTTGTGTGAAATGTTCAGTCAACAAACAGTGGCCTTTCCCTGCAGCTTTAATTTTGTTTGTGATAAAAACATACCAAAGCAACATCTTTCCTCTTTGGCTATTTCAGACCTAAAACAAGTAGTCTGGCTTGACTGGAAAGGTGAACAAATTTTAGAGATGTTTTTACTTTGTTTTAGTGTCAGTAAACATCTGAAATTGTACATACGAGACAATTACACCTGGCCTGAGTGTGTGACAGTGTGTCTGGTGGCTGGCAGTGTATGTTAGAGACTTTGTGTGTGTATCTGTTCCTAAGGCTTGTGATCTCTGCTGGAAAATGTTTTATGTGAAGTGTGACTGAAATGACAGGTTTGTAAAGCAGTTTTTATTTGACCTGTTTGGCTTTTTTTGTGTCTGCTTTCACACATGTAGTTTCCTTGCTTTTGCACAAAACAAGCAGGGGAAAAAGCAAGAACAAAATCTTAAGAGGAAGATCACCAATTAAAGAGAGAATAGTTTGTGAACATTTATGAAAATATTAGTGAAAATTGCAAGATGGCATAAATGTATCACTGTGTCATCAGTGGAACAGAAATGGAAAGATTTTAAATCTTTGCTTGTACTGAAACATCCACCTTACTGAAACCTCCAATTCCAAGACAGGAATTAGGTCTGTCTGGAGTTAAAGAAAGAGGACCCAAAGGTATTTTTTGTTAAGGTCTTCAAAGGATGAGCGTGAACCAAATACAGAATCTGGACAGTTTTAGTGGTGAAACTCCACAATACCTTCTACAAATGCATTCAAAGCCTGTGAAGAAATCAAAATGAAGCATATACACATTATAGGTGATATCTCTGTGTTTAATCAGTATCCAAAATCAGTTGGTTTGCAGAAGTCTCCACGTAACCCTGTTTGAAACTATTTGTTTTACTGTTGAGCAGACTGACACCACTAAAGAACATATGCAGGTTTCTTACTTACGTTTGTTTGCTTGTTTCTAAATTCCTTCTCCCTCTGTAACCGGTAGTGGTCTATCTCAGCTATGGCTTCTTCTTTGGCCTGCTTCAAAAAATTTCCCTTTCCTAATGGAGGAATAAACAGGGTTTTACTTCACACTTGTCACTGTATCCTAAAAGATGAATCTCTCTGAATCAGAGGTATTTTACATGGCATAGTAAAATGGACAAAGCTTCAAGCAAAGTCAGCAGCAGCTTTCTTTGCACAATGGTCAAAAGAGCCAAAGTGATTTAGGCAGGGTACTTTTTGTTTGAAAGCCAGTCACACAAGTATCCATCTTCTGAGACCAACTCCCTGTGCAAAAGCATACAATAAATGAAAAGCTTGTTGGTTTGTTAACAACAGAAGTCTTTTTGCAACTACACATTTTCTCATTTTCTCATAGCACAAATGATTTTTTTTTTTTTTAAATCACAGCTTGGTGTTTAAATAAATATCTATCTATCCTTCATCAGCAATAGTAGCAGCCAGATAACAGATTTTAGTTGTCACTGATGGAAAAAGATGTTATTCTGTAAGATTTGCTGTATTGATTGGTTGCCAGCATCCCTTCATCCCACACCAACTGGATTCTGTTTAGACCTGGCAGATTTCCAAAGTACTGCAAGATATGTCTTAACCACTACCAAACTGAGTTGCAACCTTCAGGCTTTGTCCTCTTCTCCCCCACCCTCTTCCCCTAATATTTGTTAAATGCATAGATGAGTGATTAAGAGAAAATGGAGGTCAATCATATTCTCTAGCAATGCATAGAAAATATGAAAGTGATTTAAAAGGGTGGGGTTTTTTCCCTTTTCTTTTTGAACAGGAGGGTTGTCTGGAAGGTGGCATTTTAGGCTGTAGTGAAAACTAGAGCGTTCCTCCTGAACAGGCTTGTTTACATACTTAGTTTTGTTCACTGTGAATAGTTACTTTGTCTTAAATAAAAAGCTAAGGGTTTGTTAAATCAAGCCCATGTAAGTCATTGCAGGACTGGTCATAAGGAAGTTCCTGGGTCTAGCAGGGATAAAGGAAGTGTAAAGGACAGGAGTAAAAGGTTTGATGGGAATGTGATGCTTAAGTTTCTACATGAAGCAAGCGTTGAACATGTCATTAACACTCCACAGGGAGACATTTCTGTCTTCCTGTTTTATGTGAAGTTGGTAAAGTTGCATGGATCTCCACAGGACTCTGTTACACTACTGTGTGAGGAAAAAGTCACTTTCTAACTGATAGGGCTGTAAACTTCTTGCATTGAAAGTTGATATATTTGAGAGACCTGGCCTGATGCTGATTTTGGGGTCTCTTTCTGCTGTACAGCTAGAATTTTAGGCGTGGGAAGGGATAAGCTTGCTCCCTTTTCTTAATGGGATAGATAGCTTTGATGCCTGAAAAAGCTATTAGTTGCTTAAATTAGGATATCACAAGAATGAGAAAGTGGAGGCTAGGCAACTGAAAAAGGCATCTTGATCTGATGTGTGAAACATCCAGCTGTTTGTTTTACTTAATGTAACCACCTACGTAACATCACTGAGCAATAGGAACACTTTTGTAAATTTTGCTGTTTGGTAAGTTTTGTTGTTTGGTTTTGTTGGTTTTTTTTTTAATTCTTTCAATTCAAGTATGAAATCTGAAAACAGTGCCTTTTCTTAAATCTTAAGGAGCATTCTCCAACTAGGCTAGAAAGGTGAGTATTAGTATTTTTGATTTATGTTCTCCAGGTTGCTACACTGGATTTGCTACACCTTTGCTGGGCTTCACCATGTGTGGCATATAGCAACCTCCTTCCACTGAGCATGGCACAATGAGAAAGTTGAATCTTGGGAGGAAGACTGTTGGTTTTGATACATCTGAGATTCAACAAGAGCCTGGGTAAAACACTTGATCCAGTGGTAAATTGTTTGCCCAGTTGGCAGCTCCTTCTGAAGCCATTATTGGCAGATTGGTGAGTAGAAGCAGAGAGATGTCTGAAATGTGAATTTCCTTTTAAACTCTTGATTCCTGGATTCCTGTTTGATTTTGTGAGGTGCGGAACTGGACAGCTTTACTGACTCAGTTCATCAGTGCAGTGCTCTCTTGTGTAGTTAATTATATTTCTCAAGAGTCCTTCTGCTGCCACACTGCGCTTATGTATAAAGGGGCAGAAAGGCAGTTTAAAAACTTGTGTGTACTTTCCCAGAGTTTGTATTTTTGACAAGGACTGATTCCCTCAGCTTCTGCCACTCACTGTATGAAGTTTTGGGGCCAGTATGTGTGAAATGATAGATTTGTGTAAGAGCCTGACATAAGTCTGGACAACAAAATTTGGAACCAGGTTTAGGTCTGTATTTTGAAGTTTCCCTTATTCTCTTCTCCAAATTCGGAGCTGATCAGCCTTTTATAGAGCTTTCCTCTAGGAGTGGAGCCAGGGAGGGGTGATTCTCTAGAGCTGGAACCTGGGGGGAGTGACTAGGATGAAGCTCTGCCAATTTCACCAGCTGAGGAACTGGATCTCTATAGTAAATTATTTCAAAATCAGTGGGATTTTAATTTCAAATTCCATCTGGGGGGCCATCTGTAGTAAATATGTTGCATATTTGGTCACCAGATAGATAAATAAATACATTTAAAATGTGTAAAATGGAAAGATATTAACTGTAAGACAACAGGTCATTTGCCTCTGACAGTGTAGCCAGTGAACCAAAAAGTATATATATACATACATGTCAGCTCCTGACAGTGCACTGGAGTAAGCACAATACATAGGGTGTCCCTGTAGGGTGGCAGCCATTTCATTTTTCCATGATGCCTTTAGGATTGGCACAGCAGGAACCTGTGCTTCCTATTTAATTAAGTGGAAAAGCTGTGAGTAAATTACTGCTAGTTCAACTATGCTGTGGGCAGAATTGGCAACTGCCAACATATGCGATAGTGCATATGCTGCACCTGATTAAGTTAAGCAGAAACTAGAGCTTAACCTGCTGTTTCACTAGAGACAAACCAAAATTAATTAATCAGTCTGTTATTAACCACTTGTCTGCTACATTAGTTGTACCATACGGGATTGCCTTTTCAAAGTCTTACTGATCTTCTAGACGAGATTCTCTGCAGAGCGCATGGAGCTGAAATCAAACCTTACACACTGAAGGGTGGCAGAGCATTGAAATTCAGCCAAGATCATGCAAAAGAGGGCAAGAAATACAGGAGGGTGAGCAAACCAACCTGTCCCTACAACATTTCCTCTAGGATCAGAAAGGTGAGGTACAGAAAGCTCCAAATTTGAAGAGACTTCTGCCCCAAAGAGCATGCTGTGGGGGCCAGGTTTGCTCCTGCCCCTTTGTCCCTCCTTCCCACCTCTGAAGACAGGGAGCAGCAAAGCAGCTGTGCTGTGCCTGATGTCCTTGTCCACTGTGGTCTGCGGTTACAGTAGTGACAGCCTATAAATTTCTAGGCATCATGTTACATTGGCCAAATCTCAACCAACTTTCTGTAATAAGTCAGCCCTGTAGTAGACCTGTATTAACCTGAGAAGGTATGGGGAAAGCTTGTATTCTTCTTTCTAGGTATTTCCGTGATGCTAATGAAATACCTAACTCTGGTTAGATCCAAAAGAACTGGTAAGGTTTTCTAGGTTGTTGGGGTTTTTTTAGATCTTGCAAGAAAAAGACAGTAGACAGGAAAAATGTTACGTTCTAATTTGCTCAAACACTTGAGTTATCTTACTTTCCAGAAACTCCTATGCTAAAATTAACTTTCTGTTTTCAAACATATCATCTAGGCTTCTAGCTGACTTTCTGCATAGAAATCATTCAAATGAAGAAGCTGCCAAAATTAATCGTATTTTCCTTAAATCAGACCATTTCAGTTGTCTTCAAGAATGTTAAATTGTCTGCAAAATGGGATTTAGGGATGTTCATTTTGAGAAGACTATTTGCACTTTTTATAAAACACAATAGAAGCAGCTGATCAGTATGTATAGCTTTATCAGTAGATAAAACGTGTAATGGATATTATCCAAGAGAGCACCATGGACATAATTCTGTTTACAATACCTACTACCTTATTTTGATTAACATTTGTTTTTAACCTGATTTCCTGAAATCTTTCATCTGAGTTTTCATTTTATTAGTCACTAGAAATCCAAGCCAAGATATAAAAATCTATATGAAAACAAGTTTTGTTAAACCCAGTGTTCATGACACATTTGTTTCCCTTGTTTTACCCAAAAGGATTTTTAGGAATTGATGTCCTGGCTCTGACAATGCTTAGTTATTTCTGGGATCCAAATTATGCTTAAAGCAAAAATGATAGATAAAACAGAGCTGTGTATAAAAGGCCAAAGGATTGCAGACTGTTTTGGTTTGTGTTTAATCAATTTGATAGTTTCAGCCTTGCATATGTGCATTTACCAACAAGCTATTAATAATTTGTCAGGTATAAATGACATCAGACAATGATACAGTAAAGATAATGAAAGTCAGGGTAAAGGGTACTGAGCAAGAAGTATGAAAAAGCACGTACAGAGGAGCTTTAGCACTATATTTTTGCTTTGCTTAATGTCTATAAATATAATTGTATTTCTTTGCTAATTTTTCAGTTATCCAGAGTGGATTTTACATTACAAACAGCTGCACATATGTCAGAAAAAAAACAGGCCCGTCATCTGTTTATATACAATATTATGTGTGTTCACACTATGTTTTGATCTGGTTATGTGAGTATCAACTGTAAACACTGAAGGGTTTGCATAAGGGTAGTTTTGCTAATCACATTTCCTTGAAAATGACTTTTCCTTGTTGTGTCCCATGAACAATCTGCCTTTCATTCTTCTCACATTACAATGTAAATAGAATAGTCGGACTCCTTCATATAGTGGTGTTGTGCAACGGCTGTTTGTGGTGGAAAGGAGGTCATATTGTGGAGAGTTGAGCAGGGAGGGGACTGTGCTAGTGCTCACTGGTCAGGTTCATTGCTTTCACTTGCAGCCCAGATCTGCACAATGCCAGGCCCCGAGCAGACACTGCTGATCTGAACTGGTACCAGGTGGATCTGGGCTGGTGGTTCCTGGGGTGAACCAGCATGTCCTTGCCTTGTTTCTCTGAACTGTGTGTGTGCAGGTTAACCGATTGTGCTAAATACATTGGTTGTATTTTGTGTATTTCCTTTTATCTTTGTTTTTATGCTCAGAGTCAAACTATGCCATCCTTTATGCTGATCTACCTGCAGAATCACTCTGGGGAAGAGGCTATTTGAGTTATTCTGACTTGGCAGAACTGTATTTGGCACTAAGAGAATCTCTTTTGTCCTTGTCCCACAGTATTTAAGTTATGCTGGTATAGTTAGATATCGAAAGTGGCATAGGGACATCGCTATGAAAAATAATGAAATTAAAGAAAGCATAGAAATATTTTTATTTTGTAGCTCCACTGTGAACCTCTTGTAATGTTGACTATAATAATGATTGTCTAGGTATAATTATTCTATAAGATTAGCTATAATGCATGGTTTAGCACAAAATCTAGGGTGGAGTAGTCCTCAGAAAAACAAGAATCAGCAGCATTAAAGCCTGACCCTTGCTCATGTGATCCATGAGATCTAAAACTTAGAACTTTGCTGTTTGCACTCTAGTAGGAACTATAGGCAGTATTCAACATGAACAAAAAGATCCACCAAAGTCTTTAGTGTGTAGATGATGCCCTTGATCTGCTTCTACCTAGGAATAAAATCTCTTAGAAATGCTTGAGGTTTTTCATGGGATTGCACAGAGCTGCTGAGGCTGGAAGGGGCCTCTGGAGTCCACTCCCACCACCTGCTGAGAGCAGGCTTGGCAAGGGCAGCTTGATCAGGGCCATACCCAGTGGGTTTTGAATGCCTCAGGATCGAGACTGCACAGCCTCTCTGGGCAGCCTATTCCTGGGTTATAGTATTGTTTTCTTATACTTAAATTTGTGCTATTATCTCTTGCCCTTTCAGTGGATACCACTCTCATCTCTGTCCCCCCACCCCTGATTTTTATGTATGAGAAATTTTTGTTTTCCTTCAGAATGTTTATAAAGGCAAAAAAAAGTTTGTCTTTTAAAGTAATAGAGAAGAAAGTCATCCTGATTAAATATTTCTACTGTAAATACTTTTACTGATGGCAAAATTCTTAGTATCTGTTCTTCTGTAGCTGCTGAATAACTCCTACCTAAAGACTAATACACTGTTGGGTGTAGGCGGTGGTTTAACTCAATTTCCTGACTCAAAGAGGTCTGGAAGATACTTTCTCTGTAAGGAGAGAAAAGTGCTCTCCTGTGCTCATCACAAGCACCCTGTGTGGGGCTGAGGCGATGACAGGGGAGTGCGTTATTTGCAGAGTAGAGTAAATGCACCTATAACCACATCTGGATTCTGCAAGACACTCGTCTTCAGTCATTACTTCTATGTTATAATGACGCTTTTCATTTTTTGAGTTTCTCTATTTACGAAACCTCTTTTTAACTGACTCTTTTAGAAAAAGCCAATCTGACTTTTCTGGTTTTAAAAACAAAAGCAAACCAAACAAAAAAAAAAAAATCAAACCCAAAAGGAAAGGGTAATTCAATATCAAGCTGTCATAGCTAAAGGTCTGATTTTGCAGTCTGTGTTCAGACCAAACGCCCACTCCCTCCACTGGGGGCTGTGCCTTTCCAAGTCACACGCTTTCTTGCTTCTTGTTTTGGAGAAGAGCGTGTTTCCTCTGCTGTACGAGAGATGGGAAGAACCATCCCACCCAGAGCACATTGTTTGGCTGTATAAGGGTTGTATCACTTCTTAATTATTCCTTGCTTTTAGGCTGGGAGCAGTAATCCCAAACACCTTCTTTTTGTGAACCTTCTGTTTCATGAAGGTGAGAGAATATTTGGGTTTTTTCTCTGTTGCTTCTGCAAGGCACAGGCAGTGGCTGGGTGCTTAGGGAAGGGCTACTGCCTTTCTACCTATTTTTTGTGCTGCTATACAAATTAACATGTCACACATGATGTGTGTTCACACATAATGAACACACAACAATGCTGATTTGTGTCTAGATGGCATATAGAAACTACACAAATTATTTTTGTTTAGCTTCTGTTTCTCCCTGGAAAACAAAACATATTCCTTCACCACACTCTTGCTGTACCTGATGTGAACTTTGTGCATTTTAATTGAGTCCTTCAGGGGAACATTGTTTGCTGCTGCTGGTTTCAAAATCAAGATAACTCCGTGAAACAGTATTAATGTTTCAGTGCTAATGTAGGTCAGTGACCCATGTGGTTGGTACCTACGTTCAGAAGAATAAGGTCACAATATTTTGCACTAGATCACTGGGAGATGAATGCAGAAAATTAAGGAAATAGATAGTGGAAAGACTCTGCCAGGAGAATTATTTCTTTGATTTAAATTATTCTAGCAGATACCTTCATTTTTATATTTGTTATTAATATTTTTTTGCTTATATATGACTAGCATAAAAATATTTGAATTTATTATTATTGGATATCTACATGTGCTTTGCCCTGGGCATTTAGACATTCAGTAAACAGGGCTTTTATTTTACATTGAACATTTAATCACTTGCTGATTATTTGTACTGTGTAATAAGACCTATATGAATGGCCTATTACAGTACTGACAGTGCTTGTGATTGTACCATGATTTTTATTACAATCATGATAATTACGATTACAATCATTGTTCTGTAGTCTCCCTTTGTTTTCATACAATGTTTTTGAAGCCCAGCTGAGATTAGAAGGCAAGTTACTAGATTTCGTAAGTAAAGACGAACACTGAAAAAATTATACAAGAACTATAAAGAGAAACAGAGTGTTTGGAGTCTGGTCCTCCAGAGCTGGCAGCTAGAGGTGTGGAGCCTTCTAGTTTAAATAGCTAAGGAAAACTGTAATGACATTATTGACATTACGATAAAGCAAGAATAAATCTAGCTGACTGGGTGAGTATAACAAAGAAAACCTTATTAAAGAAGGCATGTGTGCATGCACATACAAGCACACATGTGCACACAGAATTCTAAGCAAACTCTGAATGTGGCTGCAGTCAAGGCACAGCACTAATGCAAGTGAGAAGAAAGATCAGGAGCAGCACAGCTGTGATGTATACAGATTAAATAATGTTTTTCCATGAGCCACTGTAATTCTGAAGAGCTTACAGTTGCAAACTACAGTAAAACCAGGCCAGCTACTTACTTTTTTTGGCTTCTTCTAGTTTGTCCTTGGCACGTTTTTCTGCCTGCAAAAGCTGCTGGATTCCCTGAGACTGGCTGGTCATGCTGGTTGCTGAGGCCAGTGCACTTCTGCAGGGACTGGAGCTCGGAGGGAGTTTTATACAGCCGCCAGGCTCTTCCTTGTGCTTTTTGTTCTGTCTGTTATTACAGCAGCCTTCCAGATTGCACCGAACCAGCCAGCTCTGCCTGGATTGCTGCTGGGTGAAAAGGCTTGCTACTGCAATCAGAAAAACATAGCAGCGAGGTTGAAAGGAATGTTCTCCCCTCCTCAGGGTCACAGAAAAGCTGAAATGTCTGATTAACACGTTGGGAAAAGCAGACAGGAGCACTGAAAGTGGCTTGTAGTTTAATGGGGACATATATATATATAATCTTTTATTGCTGAAACAGAATATAGTTAATCTTGTCAGAGGAACTGAGGTAAAAAAAATATAGTTTCTTGGAATTTCTTTTTAATAAACTTCCCTTGAATGTGAGGAATCAGAGCCAGTAAACAAGTAGTTTTGTTTGAACACAGTGAACTGGTTGTAGTTTCTGTTTGGTGTTACTTCTTTTCATTATCCATTAGAGTTTTTTCACTTAAAAAAAAAATCTTAATTGGAAATTAATTCATAAGGGACTAAAGTTTATAAAAGCGTGTGCTGGTTGGGGTGTGCTCTTTGTTGTGATCTGACACAAGGGAGATGAGTGCTGTGGTGGAAAACTGTGGGATTAGCTCTAAGATCCAGACTCTGTGAAGGTATGACTGGTGTTCTAGGTCTTACTTTCAAGTCTTAACACACACAACAGTCAAATTTGTGAGCATGGCTGTAGATGCACATCCCATTCCCTACGGTAGGAAAGAGTCTCTTGTGAGATACTGCATGAATAAACAGCATGTTCCTATTTTGAATTCCTATTAAAAAACCCAACAAATCCCACTGCCCGCAGGTACTTTGGTAGTTGCACAGGAGGGGGACATGTCAAGATGCATGATTAAAATAGATTTTTTTTTTTTTTAATACTTCATAGCATGAGCAAAGCATATTTATTGCAAGTACTTCTGACACAGCTGTGTCAGGACCAGTGATCACATTCCAATGTAAATTGGTTTTTCTGTCTACAATTATATATAGATATATATTTATACATATATGTGTATAGATATAGTTTCTGCATATATATAACAAAATAAAATATGTGTGTGTGTGTGTGTA